TGAGAATGTATGGCATATAATATAGGTATGCCGTATGCGCCGAAAAAAATATTAAAATAAAATAAAATTGTAATACTGGTTTGGCGTATTGGAAGTTCATGCACTCCGACTGTCAAATCCATAATCGATGTTTATTCCATATGACAATACAGAATAACAAAAGAAATGCTTCACTGCTGCCAAAGATCAGGCTCTCTTTTCTTAAATGAAATTAATTAAACATAGTCAACATTTTTTACAAAAAATTAAGGAAAAGTTCAAATACTCATGTGGTTTGTTTTTGAATCATTTATCTTTTTTTTTTTTTTGACAGGAGAACATGCATATCACATCAAGGAGCACACAATTTTTATACTCCAAAATCGCTTCAAAACTTAATTATTTCACTTAATCAGAGATCGATTTGGAGTTAAAAAAATAAATTTTTTTTTCTAGAAACCATTTCCTCACTTAGACAACGCCATTAGAAACTCGAATGACAAATTATTGTTTTCATATGACAACTCCAATATTGTTAAAATGTCACGCACATGGATTCATTCATAGTACAATATTATTAAACTTGAATTGATCACTGACTCATTTGGGGTATTGGACAATGGATCACTAATTGAATTAAATATATATAATAATACGCGATAAATATAAAATTAGAAGCTTTATAACCAACAAATAAAATAAGTTTAGTGGTAAGTGTTGCAAATTTCATTCCTCCTATTGCAGCTTTGATCCCCTCCATTGGCACTTTACAGATATTTTACACGAAATTTCATAGAACTGATTTAACTAAAACCGATTGAGGCTTTTACCAAAAAAAAAAAAAAAACGAATGAAGTTGGACCAATTTAAGTGCACAATTAATGCTAGAACCGGACAGGTTAGGAATTCGGTTTCAGATGAACCGGTTAGACCAATCAATATCAATTTTCATAACTTGGTTCAGGAAATTAAATAACAATATATTTTTGCATAGGCAAAAAGACCTATCTTAAGCACACTTACAACTTTACAAGTAAAAACCTCTTATTAGGGCGCCTAACATAGGTTTGTGGCTGTAAGAAAAATTGCTCAAAATAATAGATCAATAGCGCCTCCAAGCTGAGAGCAAATGACAATGATTTCAGTAAAGGTATCCGATGCTGTAAAGTTGAAGTGGTATGAAACCAAATAAAAGTAGTAGAAAAGAACAGTATGATATGTAAGAAAGATAAGAAGCTTTGACATATAAATTGATAAATTTGTGATTAGATTCAATTGTACTCAACGAACCACATAATGACACCAAAAATGAGATAACAATCTCTCTATACAGCGTGGATGCATTCATTGTAGGCCCTCATCACATCATTTATTCCCGACATGTTAAACACATAGCTCCAACAAATAAGCCACTCCATTGTTATCTCTCTTAGCCATCATGCATTGAAGTTTGGTGTACACATATTCCTTGCTTATATCCCAAGTTAAATTATTGATTCTACATATTCAGGCTCAATGTGTAAAACATCACAAGAAAATAATTAATGGGTGGTTTTCATTGTCAAAGATACTGACAGATGGGACGGTTTGGACAAGGAACTTTTTAAAAATGAGAGGGTTCCCTTTGGTAGGGCAACAATTAAGGAAGAATGGCATTGTTGCGCTTTGGTGGGGTATGTATGACTATGCAGATGTATATGCCCACCTTGATTGGGTTGGGTCCATCTAGGACAAGGTCTTATCCATCGAGTTCACAAATTGGCAAACTAATGTAGTCTCTATACTTTGTTTTGTTGTTCTTATGGACCTGGAAAAGACCCACATATGCAAGCAGCCTAATCAGCACAAGTTCAAAGGTAAGCTCTATAAATAGGAGCTAAAGATCACAGGTATGACTGATCTCTCTAACCCTATTTATGCAATCACGACAGTGCACACACACACCCCTTCAGGCTACAGCCATCATATAGTATGTAGTGATTCGCTGTCCCCGAGATACATAATTCATAGGTATCTAGAGAGAGAGAGCCTTAGATCCAACATCAAAGACCCGACTTACGATCGGACATATCTGCCTAAGGCAGAACATTGACGCCGTCTGTGGGGAGACTTTTTCCCACTATTATGTGATCAAAGGCCGTGATGGCAAGGATGACAAGAAGTGGATTTCGGCAACCCTCAAGATCGAATTCCAGAATCCAGCCAATCTCTCCTATCAGGGAGGATCCTACGGATCATCGGCAGATAGATACTGATGCAGTGCATGTTAGTGATGTGCACTCTGATTCGGCATCAACCCCAGCCGTCAATCCGGACGCCCCATACGTGCAAGGCTTGCACCCAATGGAGGAACGGACGACGGATGTCGTGCAGGTACCAAATCGTGAAGTTGGTGATACTCGGGTAACAGATCTGGCAGTTGCCGCGGTACTTCGAAGAATGGAAGAGATGGAGTGTAGGCACGAGCTTGAAAGGGAGGAAGGTGCCAGACAGATGCGAGAGGTGGAGGCTCGAGTAGGTCAAGCCACTAACCCGAACCCGGAACATGCTATAACCCGGGTTATGAATGACCTGAGGATCACCAACATCCAGGAGAACCCCGGTAGAACCCAGACTCAGGGGAGAAACACTGGAAATGGCGAAGGCCGACCTCAAGGAAGCATTCCCAACGTGGTTCACAATGCGGGACCGGAAGTTCGCAACAACGATGAGGGGCAACCAGAAAAGCTAGGAGAAAATCATCAATCCTCAGATTGGAGACGCCCATCTCGAAATCTGAACCCAAACGATGTATCTGGAGTCTATAGGAGGAAATATCACAGGGGACAATACAATGATAGCCCATTCGCGGACGAGATCGTGGAGGCACCATTTCCAGAAAACCTCAATTTATCCGAAATTCTGAAATACGATGGAACGCAAGACCCCCAAGTGCATTTGGATGCCTTTGACACGGCAATGTACATTAAGGGAATTGAAGAGCCGCTGATAACTCGACTATTTGCAACCACGCTGACGGGAGCAGCTCAGTCATGGTTTTTGTCTTTACCGGCGGGATCCATTAGATCGTTTGAAGAGTTCGGAGGAAGATTCTTGCTGAATTTTGCTACAAGCAAAAAACAGCCAAAGTCCGAGTTCGCACTGGGAAAAATAAAACAACAACCTGGTGAAACTTTGCAGAAGTATTTAGACCGCTTTAAAATGGCCGCCTTGCAAGTTCCCGGGCTATCAGAAAACATTAATCTACATTTAGTGATTGCCGGACTGCAAGGATCCTCCAGGTTGGCTAAATCTGTATACAAAGATCCAATCCGAACTCTAGTTGAGTTCACTACACGGTCCAAAAAATATTTGGAGCTCGAACAGATGGAAATTGAAAATGCAGACCCAAGGCATCACCTCGGCCAGGCAGAGAAACTTGGAAGTCGAAAGCAAAGTGATTTCCGGGGTAAGAGGCCATAAAAGAAAGTTCCAACCAAAGTAAGGTTTGACAGATATGCGCCTCTGAATTCATCCAGATCACAAATCTGGAGGGAGGTGGCATCCACGGAAATGAAGAAGGTGGATAGGCCTCGGCCATTGCTGAATCCAGCCGGGCTTGACCAATCTCAGTACTGTGCATTTCATGATGGCCCCGGTCACACCACTGATGAATGCTGGGATCTCAGAGATGCAATTGAAAGGTATATCAGAGAAGGAAAGTTACGCTAGTATCTGATAAGAACTCAAGGGTGGAAGAATAATAAGAAGAGAAGAGGAGGGCGGCCTATGAGCCTGCCTCGAGAAAAAAGATTCAGGGAAGAGGGCCGAGGTAAGAAGCCGAACAAAGAAGAAGATGAGTTCATAGAACCAGAATTTGAGTGCAATGTGATTAGTGGAGCTTTCGGTGGAGGGGGCGATACCATGAATGCCAGGAGGAAGTACTTGAGAGAAGTGCTTTCAATACGAGAGCGACCTAAGTTCAAAGAAACTGAACCAGAAGCACCATTATTGTATTTCACTAAGAAGGAATTGGAGGATGTAATGTCGGGATACGTTGACGGGTTAGTTATCACCGAAACGTTAGTCAATAGTAAAGTCAAAAAGATGTTCGTGGATAACGGCAGCTGTGCCGACATAATCCTATGGCAGACATTCCAGAAAATGAACCTGGATGTAGAAGATTTGAAACCCTGCAACACGGCTTTGATTGCATTCAATGGCCGTAACACTATTCCTAAAGGATACATTGACCTGCGGCTTACTCTGGGAACGAAGGAGGCCTACAAGTCAGAACGGATAAGATTCATAGTAGCTGATTTCCCTTCGGAGTATAACGTAATTCTGGGAAGACCAACTATCCATGATTGGGATATACTGGTTTCCACCAAGCATCAGAAGCTCAAGATGATTGGAAAGCAGAACACGGTCATCACCATTGTTGGGGATCAAAAGGAATCTCGGGACTGCTACTTCAAGTCGGTTAGGGCAGTGAGTAATGACTTTAAAACACCAGACGAGATAAACCCTGGTGGTAAGCAGGATAGTTCAAGACAGAAGGAAAAGAAACCAATTAATATGGTAGAGTTGGACATGATGGACGACACTCAAATCCCGAGGCCAGAACCTGATGGAGAGCTGGAAGAGGTAATCATTGGACAGGAAACTCAAACAGCCAAGATCAGAAAGGGTTGGCAAATGAGGACAAAGTCTGACTTATTGAGTGCCTAAGGAGGAACACATATGTTTTTGCTTGGAAATCCTCAGAAATTCAAGGAGTGGACCCTCGTTTTTGTTGTCACAAGCTTACAGTATACCCAGGATCTAAGCCAGTAGCCCAGAAGAAAAGGAAGCTCAGCTCGGAACGTCGGCAAGTACTGGAAGATCATGTAAAGGAGTTGCTGGAGGCAGGGTTTATTAGAGAAATACAGTACACAACCTGGCTATCCAACGTGGTAATGGTCAAAAAGCTAAATGGGAAATGAATAGTGTGTACAGACTACACAGATCTGAATAAAGTATGTCCTAAAGATGCATACCCCATGCCCAATATAGATCAGCTCGTGGATAACTCATCCGGGTTCCAGATGCTATCCTTCATGGATGCATATTCGGGATATAATCAGATCCCACTACACCCTGAAGACCAAGAGAAAACTGCTTTCATCGCAGAGAAGGCAAACTATTGTTATAATGTGATGCCCTTCAGACTGAAGAATTCAGGGGCCACTTACCAAAGAATGATGAACCAGGTGTTCGTAGACCAGCTCGACAAGAATGTGGAAGTTTACATAGATGACATGATAGTCAAATCAATTAATTCAGCAATGCACATTGAGGATCTGGAGCAGACCTTTAACAAATTGTGAAAACATAGCATTCGGTTAAACCCGGCTAAATGTGCTTTTGGAGTCCTCGCGAGAAAATTTCTAGGATTTATGCTGACTCACAGGGGCATAGAAGCTAACCCAGACAAGTGCAGAGCCGTGCTGGAAATGAAGGCTCCGGCAGGCAAAAAGAAGATCTAACAGTTGACAGGAAGGCTAGCTTCTCTCACTAGGTTTTTGCCTCGGTCTGCGGAAACGGCATTACCCTTTTTCAAGCTATTCCGAAAGGAGGTGCAATATGGGTGGACTTCGGAGTGTGAGGTGGCATTTCAAGAAATTAAAAAGCAGCTGGCATCACCACCAGTTTTATCCAGTCCAAGAGATGCGGAGCCATTGATAATATATCTTTCTGTGGGAGATGTTGTTGTTAGCTCGGTCCTAGTTCAAGAAAATGAAGAGGGACAACAACCAATTTACTTCGTAAGTCGGCTCTTGCAGGGAGCAGAGCTCCGTTATCAGAAGTTAGAGAAGGTGGCTTTTTCCTTACTAATCTCAGCTAGAAGACTTAGAGCATATTTTCAAGGACACCGGATTGTAGTCAGGTCAGACTTGCCAATTCGGCAAATCTTGCATAAGCCGGACTTAGCAGGAAGAATGATGGCTTGGGCTGTGGAATTATCAGAATTTGATATAGTTTTTGAAAGCCGAAAAACGATCAAATCTCAAGCACTGGCATATTTTGTTAGAGAGCTTACTTCAATCCAAAAAGAGAGCTCAACAAACCTAGACACCTGGAAAATCTACGTGGATGGATCCTCAAACTCCAAAGGCAGCGGGGCCAGAGTGATAATTGAGAACCCGGAAGGGGTTTCGGTTGAATACTCCATGCAAATGAATTTTGAAACATCAAACAACCAGGCAGAATATGAAGCATTCATAGCCGGGCTTCAGCAGGCCAAGGAGCTCGGAGCAAGGAGACTGCAAATCTATAGTGATTCGCAACTGGTCACCTCCCAGATTACAGGTTGCTATCAAGCTAAAGGACCTTTGTTAGCAAAATACTTGGATTCTGCAAGACAGTTAATGGCGGAGTTCGAAAAAGTAGAGGTCAGTTATATTCCAAGGAATGAAAATAGCAGGGCTGATATACTATCAAAGCTGGCAAGCACTAATGGTTGGGGAAACCACAGGACGGTGGTTGAGCAGAATATCCCAGAACCTACATGTGTCATGCAGATAATTGAAGGCAAAGATTGGCGCGGCGCCGTCATTGACTTCATAGAAAACGGGTCGCTCCCCCAAAAAAGAAGAAGCTCAGAAGCTGGTTAAGGACGCAACATTATACACAATGGTAGAAGGGAAACTTTACAAAAAAAGAGCCTATTCCCCTCTACTAATATGTCTAAGCTCGGATAGAGCGAAATATGTCCTATCTGAAATCCATGAGGGGATAAATGGCCAGCACGTTGGAGGCAAGGCACTAGCTCGGAAAGCTCTCAGAGCAGGCTATTTCTGGCCATCTATGAGTCATGATGCGAAGGAACATGTGTAGAAATGCAATCAATGCCAGAAGCACGGTAAGAACCTGTTGGCACCACCAGAAGAGTTAAGTCTGATCACAGCTCCATGGCCGTTCTTTAAATGGGGGATGGACCTTTTGCGCCCATTTGCAGCGGCTGAAGGACAATTAAAATGGTTAATAGTGGCTGTCGATTACTTTACTAAATGGATAGAAGCAGAGCCAGTGGAAACAATTACCACGGCAAGGGTGCAACGTTTCTTCGAAAGGAACTTGATCTGCAGATTTGGAATGCCAGCCGAGGTGGTTACCGACAACGGGACCCAATTCACAAGTAAGACTTTCAAGAAATTAATGGCAAATCTATACATCCGGCATCGTCTTGCATCTGTTGAACATCCTCAGTCCAACGGACAAGCCGAGGCGACAAATCAGGTTATCATAGACGGGTTACGCAAGAGAATGGAGCAATGTGCCAAGGGGAAGTGGGTAGAAGAACTATGGTATGTACTATGGGGATACAGAACTACGATGCAAACTTCTACTGGAGAAAGCCCGTTCAGGTTAACCTACGGTACCGAGGCCATGATCCAGGTGGAATTAGGAGAACCATCATGGCGAAGGATCCAAGCTTTATCACAAAAAAAAAGAGAATAGTAACAAAATAGTTGTGGAGCTGGATTTGATAGATGGAGCTCGGGTCACTGCTCATTGTAAAAATGTTGCGGCAAAGTAAAACGTGGCAAACCGATTCAACAAAAAGGTAAGGCCGCAGTCATTTGCGGTGGGAGAGTTGGTTCTTCGAAGGGCAGATATCGGAGGAAAAAACGCAACTGAAGGAAAATTGGCTCCAAGATGGGAAGGACCATACAAAGTTAAAGCCAAATTATCAAAAGGAGCTTATGTGTTGGAAACCCCACAGGGGAAGCAAGTCAAAAGGACTTGGAACGCGGACAAATTGAAGAAATATTTTAGTTGAAAAAATCTTACTCATAAATTGTAGTTTATATTTCAAGTTCAATAAATTGATAAATCAAGTGTTTTTCAGAAGCTCGTTTCCAGAAGAAATCCGAGGTAATTGAACCTTCTTGCCTAAGGGCAATACGGAGTTCTAGCCCGGTTTATAATGTCGAGGTATTTGAACCCTCTTGCCTACGGGCAGGACAGAGTACTAGCCCGACAAACAACGTCGAGGTAATTGAACCCTCTTGCTTAAGGGCAAGACAGAGTTCTAGCCCGGCTCATAATGTCGAGGTATTTGAACCCTCTTGCCTACGGGCAAGATGGATTTCTAGCCCGACAAACAACGTCGAGGTAATTGAACCCTCTTGCCTAAGGGCAAGACAGAGTTCTAGCCCGGCTCATAATCACTACTAGAAAATTGGGTTTTTGTGATGGGCATTTTCCATCGCAAAACAGGTAATATCGGTCGCAAACTCCATTTGCGACGGAATTTGCGATTGAAAAAAGCCGTCGATAAAAGCCTCATCGCAAACTAATTTTGTGACGGCATTTTGTTGTTATGAAATCCGACGCAATTTGTGACCGAAAAAAACGTCACAAAACACTTATTTTCCATCGCAAAATGCTGACATGAATACTTGGAATACCATCGCAATTTGAAACAGAATTCTCGTCGCAAAATTATCCATCACAAAGTAACTTAGGAAAGAACCCATCGCAAAGTTTGCGATGGAAATATATTACAACACCGTCGCAGATTTGCGATGGAATTTTTGAAAATCCCATCGCAAAATTTGGATGCAATGAAAATCCCATCGCAAATAATCACAAGAGATTGCGACGGGAATATATTATAATACCGTCGAAAAACTTAGTCAAAAAATATAAAAAAACGTCCAAAATTTGTGATGGAATAGTGAAAAATACCATCGCAAATTTTTCAAAGAAACAATAATCTACGAAAATTGCGATGGAAAGTCCATGAATTTCCGTCGCAAAATTATAAAAATTAAAAAATAAATAAATTTAAATTAATTTATTTCAAACCTGTAAACAGTACAACCATAGCAAAAATACTTATGTCTCATTAAAATGAAATAACTATGAAATTATAATCTCATACAAACTAACAAATTATAATCTCATACAAACTAACAAATTATAATCCCATATAAACCAACACTATAATCTCATACAAACCAACTTATAATCTCATACAATTAGAAAAATGTATCAAAAAAGTAGTCATAAACAAAAGTTTCGAATACATCATGAGGTAGGGGTGTGCGATGAGGATGGGGATGAGGATGAGGAGTGTACAGTCTTCTTCTTCTTCATCATCTTTTTCTGCTTCTTCTTCTCTTTCTTCTTCTCCATTTTGTTCAGTAATTTCTGCAACAGATTATCCGTCTTTTTCTGTTTCTCCTTTTGTTGCCTTAGCTCGGTGTCCATTTTATCCCTTTGCTGCTGTAATTCGGCTTCCATTTTTTCTTTTTGCTCCTTTTGTTGCTGCAATTCTGCCTCCAATTTAGCTGTCACTTCTCGCATTACAGCAAGCTCATCTGTAATAATAAGAACACATGCTTAGGTCAATTGTTTTGTATTTAATTTAAATGGAGTAGGGAGTGAAATTTTGAAACAATTAACTATAAATGCCTTTACCTTCGGAAACACTTGGAAGTTGTCTGGAGGGGCGCTTGGTGCTCTTCATGCTGCTAGCAGATGCTCCTAGGCCAAAAATTCTTCCCTTTTTATTAAATGGCTCAGTCGCCTTAATGAAGAGTTCATTGCTATCGACCTGAGAGGAGGCGGTTCCATCGTCTGTCACTTGTGTTTGTGTCTCCTCTTGGAGCTTTTGGAATCCCTCCTACAAGCAAGAAAAAAAAGAAAACAAAATATGGTGCAACCACGAAGTGAATTAAACGCTAATAAATCAAACAAACATATGGTAACTAATAACTTACCGCTATTTGTCTAGATGTGTTGTTAAGCCACCGTCGAGTCCCTGCTTCAGACTCTTGTGTGTGGGTTCTCTGAAATGTAGCAAACTCAACCTGATCTGGGGGCACCTCCCCAGAAGCTTGCTACAAATAAAAATTGGCATCATTAATTAATTACAAGTGCAAAATATAGAATACCGAGATAAAAAATTATGCACACTTACAATTCTTCTCTTATGCTTGGAGATAGAAATGCAGCCGCCAACATAAGTGCCTTCTTCCATGTGCGACCTATTCTGCTTGTTTCGGGCGGACCTTGCCTGAAAGCCCTCATCTACAGCCCAGTTTTCCAACATGATACGCTTAGCTTCAGAATGACACCAAGAGTTATCACCCTTGTCATACCTCAAATTGTGCATTTTGTTAGCATACCCTTTTCCAACCTTAAATTTGAAAGCAGCTATCAAATCGGCACGGTGTTCGGGCAACCACCTGAAGTTGTTCTACAAATATTTCAAGAGACAAGTGATTAGTGCACATTATCATGTATGAGATTAATTTAAAATGCATGTTGATAAAAATGGTATAGTAACCAAAATATGGGAAAACTTACCAAGAAAGAATCACGCCAAGCATCTTTTTGGTTGGGTGGAACATCTTTCCAAAAACCCCATGTGTGGGTGTAATTTCGAAAAATCATATTGTTCAGGTATTTGTTGGGTTCTTTATATGGGTAGAACCTGATAGTAAAAATAAATCAAAATATTAGCATATAAACAACAGGGTTAAAAATAAAGAAATTAGTACCTTATTGTAACAAAGAAAACTTACTCGGTTTTCCCTAACGGACGAATCCAAACCTTTTTGGTGACGGGATCAACTGATCCCCACAATGGCTCCTCGGCAAAAGAAGTATCTCCCACACAAGAGGAAGGGGACGGATCCTACAAAAGTCAAATAAGTTATCCATTCAAGCAGTTAGTGTCAAAAATTATAATTAAAATATTAATATTTAACTTATTCCAATTGGAGTTAGTTTTAACCTGCTCGGGCACGCCCAAAAGTGTAGGAGGAGTGGGAGGAAGACCAATGGGACCCATAACAGAGTCGGTAGTAGAGGGGGAGGATGATAAGCGTGTGGGAGGCATCACAAGCTCTATCCTATCTCCTCTGCTGGCGGTGATAGGACGGGCACGTCCTCTACTGCATGCACCTATGCCAGGCTGAGAATGATCCATCTGCAAAGCTTTATAAAAATAATGTTTGAATATGTACAAAATAATATGCAATACCTCGCCATAAACAAGTTACTAATGAGCTCTATCATAAATAATCGAAGCGCAATGAAATGTTCGGAACAACAATCTCAATAAAGTTTACAAGTCAAGGCAAATTGATAAATGTCTTTAGCATAACAAACATCAATAAACATATGGAGGATGATCATTCGGATGAATCCTGTTCTTCTACTTCTTCTTGTGCGCCTTCCTCTGGAGTCTCATATTCGTCCAATTCAGGTTCACTATCTGAATAAGTCTCTTGTTCGTCATCATCTGATTCCTCATTCCCCTCATGGATAGGAATCATGTCTACCTCTGCAGCAGAATCAAAGAGATTGATTGGCACATCATCTTCTACAATATTTACAGGAAGTAAATCTCCCACATTAGCTTGAAATGGTTCAGATAATTCATTTGTTTGGGACTCTTTGGACTCCGGGATAATATTTCGAGCTTTGGTTTTGATAACTGCCATCCACCCTTGTGAGGCTGTAGGGTATGATGTATAATAAACTTGTTCGGCCTGCTGAGCAAGTATGAATGGGTCATATCCCACTGTATATCTCCTTGACTGATGAACTTCAACGTTGCCATATTTATCAACTTTTGTCCCACGTGGAGTGTTATCAAACCAGTCACACTTAAACAAAGTCACCTTATTTCCCCCCCTGTAATCCAATTGAATTATGTCAAGTAGCTTCCCATAGTAGTCATCCTCAGTACCGTCGACCAGGCCACCTCGAACAGATACACCATAGTTACAACAAGATGTATTTACATTCGCTTCTATAGTTGCAAACCTGTACCCATTGATGATATATTTTCTTAACCGTTTGACAATTGTTGCAGCTCCGTCAGCTAAACTCCATGCAACATCATGTGCAGCTGATGTGTTCGCAACGAAGTGCTCTCGAAACCATACAGGAAACCGAGAGGAAATGAGCTGATCAAGTTCAGATTTTGGCCAGCTGGAATTATTGGAGCGGAACCATTTGGAGAAGAGACTATAATAAAAAAATGATCATTATTCTTATCCCCTCTTAACCACAGACAGTCATAACATTTGGCACCAATTTAAAAAAAATAAAATCTCACTCAATGTAGGGAGCAGCCTCTGAACAGTTGTTTAGAATGTACCACTCCGCTACTTGCTTATCTCTTCCTTCAAGATTTGACTTACTTGTCGTTCCTACGACACGTCCTGGATAATTAAATATTGATATTTGACCACTCGTATCACCGCCATCATCGTTTCGAGGGGCTCCTCTCCATCTTGATATGTATTCAGTGGGATAATAGTACGATGCAAATTTACTTGCCTCTTCGATGAGATACTTTTCAGCAATTGAGCCTTCAACGTAATTTTGATTGCTGATCTTATCCTTCAGTGTTTTTAAAAATCTACAAGCACAAGAAAAGTGTACTGTTATAAACTAAGCATTATGTGGCTCAACTAAACACATTAAACAGAATCTTACCTCTCGAACGGATACATCCATCTATATTGTTGCGGACCTCCAACCCTTGCCTCGTAAGCCAAGTGAACAGGCAAATGTTCCATTGAGTCAAAAAAGGTCGGAGGAAATATCATCTCCAGCTTGCATAGCATTATTGGCACGCTTGCCTCCAGATGCCGTAACCTTTCAGCATTAAGCTGAGAAGCACAAATCTCTCTAAAGAACATTGAAAATTCAGTAAGTATACTCCATACATGTTTAGGCAATGCTTTGAAGGCCCACGGCAACAATCTCTGAAAGAAAACATGACAATCATGACTTTTCATCCCGAATAACTTTGCCTCATTCATGTCAACACACCTCGACAACTTTGACGCATAACCATCTGGGAGTTTTAGATCTTTAACCCAACGCAACAATTCTAATTTCTTGTCCTTGTTCAGTGTATATGGTGCTCTAGGTTTGAAAGTCCGTCCCCTGGTGTCCTCAACCAAATGCAAATCCGGCCTTACGCAAATGTTAGCTATATCTAGTCTTGCATTTAGAGTGTCCTTCGTTGATCCTTTGGTGTCCATCACAGTGTATAGAATATTGCAAAACACGTTCCTCTCAATATGCATTACATCAAGGTTATGTCTTAACAATTGATCTTTCCAATACGGTAGATCCCAAAAGATGCTGCGTTTGTTCCAATGGTGATCTACGCCATACCCCTCTACTTCATTCAAAGCGGGTGCCTCTTCAACACTTGGAATATGCTTCACCCTCTCCCATATGTCATTGCCACTTAAAGGATGGATTGCACCTGACCTTTCAACTCTCCCTTTCTTGAAGGCATTTTTATTTTTCCTATACGGATGGTTGTGTGGCAGAAATCTCCGATGAGTGTCAAACCAACAAACCTTGCGACTATTTTGCAAGGTAAAACCGACATTACGTTCTAAGCAAACCGGACATGCAAGTTTCCCCGATGTCTGCCATCCACTTAACATCCCATATGCAGGAAAATCATTTATTGTCCACATTAAGGCGGCCCGCATCGTGAAATTCTGCCTCAATGATACATCATACGTCAGAACCCCTTCACTCCACAACATCTTCAACTCGTCTATCAGAGGCCTAAGGTATACATCTATATTCTTTTTTGGATTGGAGGGTCCAGGGATTAATACTGTAAGGAATAAAAACTCTCTTCGCATGCACATGGAAGGTGGGAAATTATACGGAGTCACAATCACAGGCCAACAAGAATAATTTCTACCCGTTTGTTTGAAAGGAGCGAACCCATCCGAACATAAACCAAGACGGACATTACGAGGATCCGTTGCAAACAAAGGATTTTCCTCGTCAAAATGCATCCAAGCTTCGGCATCGGATGGATGCGTCACAAATTTGTCATCCCTATGATGCTCCCGGTGCCATCTCATGTGACCAGCTGTTTGTTCCGAAGAATACAATCTTTGAAGCCTAGGCACGAGAGGAAAGTACCACATCTTGCTAAACACTTTGCGGCTTGTGTTCTTGCCATTCCTCACAATATTGTATCTGTCATGTTTACAAAACTCACAGTTAGTGCGATCAGCATTTTCCTTGTAATACAGCATACAACCGTTTGGGCAGCAATGAATCTTTTGACATCCTAGCCCGAGCGCTTTCACCTTTTTTTTTGCTTGGTAAAAATCCTTCGACAAATTATTGTTCTTGGGAACAACTCGACCCATGAACTGCATCCATTCGTTGTAAGCAGCCTCAGACATTCGATGATCACTCTTCAAGGAAAGTGTTGCTAGGGTAGCAGATAATGATGTGTGTTCACTAGCTTCATGGTGTTCGCAACCATCCCATAATGGACGTCGCGCATCTTGAAGCATTTTGTAGAACCTTTCAGCTTCCGGATTAGGATCCTCAGGCATGTTATTAGCTTCAGTATGAGTACCGGGATCAAAATGTTGCCCAATCGACGGTCCTGCTGCATCCATAATCAACTGTTCATATTCATTGTGGTTTTTTCGTTGACTACTTTCCCCATAATAACCACTTGGTGTGTGTTGAATCTCCCCATGGTGATACCAACATTCATAACCCTCCATGAAGCCCTTGCGACACAGATGCACCCTGACGTGGTCCGTACTTTGAAATTTCATACACTTACACTTCACACACGGACAACTGATATCCTTACTTGGTGGTACTCTTCGATCCCATGCGAACTGGATGAACGTTTCTAAACCGTCAAGGAAGGCTCTAGTTATTTGTCTTCTATTATTCAGACGATTGTACATCCAACTCCTATCATTACCGCCTTCCATACTCCTGACTTTATAAAAAATTAACAAACATTTTGCATTAAATTAATGAAGTAAGTGGAAAACAAACACATGCATTCATCAGGGGACAATTGCAGCAAGCAACCAGAGAATTAGGATAGTACACCAGAAGATGGGGACATATATTCAGAGGGAACATCCAAAGAATGGGAAAGTACACAAGAAGATAGGGACATATTACAGAACATGGGGATAACATATATAAAATTTCATCGCAATGCAAACACACAATTACATGCCGTAACATATGTAATTTGTTACCTCAAACGACAGATAAAGATATGAAAGAAACGTCGGTGTGAATCAAGCACTATCCAGCTGCGCAAAAAAAAACCAACCATTAGCATTCATAGTACTTATGTATCAACTTTTAGGGTTAGGGCTATAGTGTGAAAATATATGCTTATGTATTTTTTAAGTAGATTCTTTTATCTTAGTTTGTTATTAAGTGGATTCCTTTATTTTTTTCCCTTGCATTCTTCTGGTTTTTTTCTGTTATTACAAAAATGAATCAAAGACTAATTATATACTTCAATATATATTTAATATAATCATTTAAATTACGGTAAGTAAGTCTTTTATTTTTTTCACCATCATCAACCTATTATATAGAACAACAGAAAAATGTGGTCCTCCTTAATTTTCTGGATATCTAGCAAAAAGTACAGCACATAAATAAATGGGTTAAAAACTAAACAATAAAAGCTAACTATGTGTGCTTCTATTTGGATGTGCTTCCGGAAGAGGCAGACAAAAAAAAAGAAAGATAAATGCCTTATTAAAAACTGAACAGGATTCTACATGCAGAGGTGTAGTAATAATTATTTTTATTCTAGGTAATAATATCAATTCAACCATATAAGGAAAGGTCGATAAGCTTAATATTCAAATCAATTTTTCATGACAAGATATTTCATATTTGATATCATATATTATAAACTACAATAGGCAAGCGCATATAGCAAACATTCAGAAGACTTTTTTCATTGTAATACTAAGTTACTTATTATAAGTTACTTACTAATCATACCAAGCTACAAAATAAAATAAAAGTTGGACAAGATAACAGGTAGATATGCCTCTGCCCTCATCTTTAAAGCATGGAATTATTAAGAGGAGAAAATAATTGTGGGAACTTAACTCCATCTCCTACCTTCCTTTTTATAAGATATTAAATATTGTTTTTGTTTTTTTGTATGTCAAAGGGATCAAAGTCCCAAAAAGAAAAAAAGATAAACAAAGCTAACTAAAGTCAACGAAGCAGGGTAAGGAAGCCCCAACAAAAATTACAAAAAGTGCATTAAGCCAAAAAAGGAAACCTTCAATTTGCCTCTGGAGCTTGAAATAATCGGCTCTTAAAAAATGAAATTCAGTATGTATTAAGATATCAAACCAATGAATATTCAGTATGTATTATCCTGAATATGAAGAAAAATGAAATTCTAGTTGCAGCATACTCAAAGAAATTATACTTAAAAAATAAGAGCAATGGTACTACAATGAGTAATAGTATATATAAAGAAGAAAGAAAACATAGGATTACAACAAGTTCTTATTTATCATTAAATTATTCATCATGAATAGTGCATATGGAGTTGCACGTACACGGATTAAAGACAACCCCACAACCTTCACCAACCCATCCTCATCCTTGAGCCACCGACAACCAAGACCCAGCCCCACATCCTCCAAACCTCACTGCCACCCACAGCCATTATTTTCACATTCGGCTAGCCTCCCTCAACCGATCCACCATTCACCGCCTCACCACCATCATACAAACCCAACCCCCAATCCTTCGAATCCAACCACTGTTCCCCCTTCCTCTTTTCAGATTTTTTTTTAAGACCCACAAACTCCACCACTAAACCCAAATCATGCGTCGATTAAGATAGAGTAACATAAAAAAAAAATCATCTTTACAATCACTACAGATCCATCAAAACATATATAGCAACACCCTAATCATAAAAAAAAAATTAATAACAACAAGAAAGACAGAGGACTGAGTGCAGAATCAACTTACGAATTGGTATGAAATGGACACCGACGGAGCGAAGAAGAAGAGGAAGAAAAGACCGAAACAAGAAAGAGTAACTCGGAGTCGGGAGCGTGTAACACGAGTAAGGACTAAGGAGTGGGACTAAGGAGTAAGACTAAGGAGTAACTCGCTGGTTTGGAGGCTCTTTGCGCTGCCCCTTCTCGCTGTTTTGGTCACACGAGCTCGTGATGGTAGATGGTGGCTGCACTTCTCAATCAATGAAACAATAAAATTAGGGTTTCATTTTAATTTGAGATTGGGCCAGGGGTTGGATCATTTAGTGTGGGCTAAAAGTGAACTTCAACTTTGTACTAAAAAATAATAACAAATGTGAGTTCGTGCAACAACACTTTCCTTTAATATATTTTATCTATTTTTCAAATGAGTAAGATATAAAATAATATATATATATATATATATATATATATATTTGTGCAACAACAACTTTTATTTAAATATGTATTTCACTGTCTACCAAAAAAAAAATGTATTTCACTGTCTACCAAAAAAAAATGTATTTCACTTATTTAAAATATAAAACATAATAAATCATTTTTATATTTGAATAAAATGGGATTATAATTAAATATTAATCATTAATTATTTATAATATATATTTTTATGTAAATAAAACTAAATTATTGAATACTAAATATAATATATACTTCATAAATTAAATTTTTTATTTAATATCAAATTGTGTCCCAACGTGTCGAAATATGATATTTTTTAGAATTAACGTGTCGGCGTGTCGTGTCGTGTCCCGTGTCCCGTGTCCGTGTCCGTGCATCATAGGTTGTAGCTAGGGGTGTTAAACGAGCCAGGGGCCTTTGGCTCGGCTCGTGAAGGTCTGAGCTTACATGTATAAAATTGATTGTTGGACCCAAGCTTGGACTTGTATAAAAGCTCGTTTAATAAAAAGGCCTCAGGCTCCAATTCAAAAGCTCGGACTTAGAGCCTCTAGATCTCAGGCTTGCTTAATATATTATTATTATTATTTTTTATACTACTTGTGATAGTCCTCTCTCTTCTCAATTTATTTCATCCCATTTTATTAATTAAACAGACTTTTTGAATGATTTTATTTTATATTATGCTATTTGGATATACATTAAATTTATGAATATTTATGGAATTACTAGTGCTGTTGATTGTATATTTTGTTTGGATAAATTTTTGTTGTCTTATTACACAGGCTAACAGGCTAAACTAGGCTTTTATTTTTTGTAAATGAGTCAGGCCGCAGACTTATATTATATTCGTAACAGGTAACAGGCTAAGGCCAGTCTGACATATTTGAACACAGGCTCGGCCCGTTAAGACCAAAGCTCGGCTCGGCTCGTTAACACCCCTAGTTGTAGGAAACACCACTTATCTTTTTACTCATCTTGCTCTTGCATGCATTAAAGATAAAAAACAGAAGGACTTTAAGATAAAAGAGGAATTTTTACCGTGTTGAATTTTGTAGCACATATCCTATTTATACGCGAAAAAATTTAAGCAAAGTTACCCGAAAAGTGCTACACCAGGAACTAACACAAAAGGGCTACAAACCAACGACAAACTCACATGGAATTTGTGGGGATTGTCCAAACCTTATAGAAATCAAACCCACCATTCCCAGACTCAAAACTTTGATTTTTTTTAAAAAAAAAAATTAAGTCATCGGCTTTCTTTTATAAGGTATTTCTTATAATACTACAAGCTGGACTATATCATATTATTTATTTTAAATAAAATAACTATAATTATTATTATAATAATTTTAAATAATAAAATAATATTATTTCAATGTTTAGTGGCATTAAGAAAATAAATGCTATCATACACATCCAGGCATATATACAAATCCACACGCGTGCACATATATACATACACACGCACACATGGCATCACCCACATGTGTGACCAAGAAAACCCATTTCATTTCATCATTTCTCTCATCCAAACATGAAAAAACCCCTCACTTTTCTCCATTATTGGAAGCTACTATTGAAGGGGCTAGGAGGATATGAGTATAATAAACTGCACTATTAAATTGAATAATTAGGAATGAATCCAAACAATACACGAAATAGAAGGATTCCACAAACTGTGCAGGTGTCAGACTATACAGTATGAAATTTGAAAGCCATCGCAAAATCCGTCGCAGATATTCAATCCATTTCACAATCTTCTAGTACAGAAAATCCATTGCAAAACCTATCGCAATTTGCGATGGAAAATGATTCCATCGCAAAAGAAGAGCCTTTTTTAAATTTTGAAATTTGGAAAACTCGCAATTTTAATCTAAATCTGAACGCCACCGCAAAACTAGTCGAAATTTGCGATGGAAACTGATTCCATCGCAAAAGGAAAGAGGCTTTTTAAAATTTTACAATTTGGAAAACGCGCAATTTTAATATATATCTGAATGCCATCGCAAAGTCAGTCGCAAATATTCAATCTATTTCACAATCTTCTAGTCTAGGAAATCCGTAGCAAAACCCGTCGCAATTTGCGATGGAAACTGATTCCATCGCAAAAGGAGAGCCATCTTTAAAGTTTTGAAATTTGGAAAATGCGCAATTTTAGTATTTATCCGAATGCGATCGCAAATTCCGTCGCAGGCTATATCCAGATTTTCCTTCACAAAGTCCATCGCAATCTGCGACGAGTTTACTGTAAGTGCCGTCACAATTTTCCTTCTCAAAATTTGCATCCGATATACCCGTCGCAAAAC